TAATTTGGTGCTTTTAATATGACATAGTTTATGTTAGAACAAGAACACAGGGAAGACCATAAGACAAGAACAAAACCTTTAAATTGTTAAAACCAAATGCTTGGTTTGTGAGTGCAAGTGGTGATCACTATTCTAGATGAATCTGTGTAATGTTTCCTTAACCAAGTTTTTCCTTATTCTCTTTAAAGGTTTGTTTTAAACTGTTTTCTTTTTCTCCTTACTCTTTGTCCCTATCCTCTTAATTGATTGATTGATTGATTGATTGTTAGGAATAAAACAGTGTTTGGGCCAGCCAGTTGCATGGCAGTTGAGGCAGCTGAATTCCACATGGCCAACTATGTGGTTTAAGTCCCAGATCTGGTGACCTGAAAAACACATGGGGCATGTTTGTGTAGTATCTAAAGTCCTAGAAGGAGGGAGGGAAAAGTGAAGGAGAAGGGATTGCGGCATGATTGTCCCAATGGGAGGATGATTTTTCACGTCCCCTGTCTCTCTGTCCCTGGCTAGCACACATACCCTCTGGTAAAAGTTTAAAAGAAAATGAGGGAGGGACCAGCAGTTAGCGCAATGGCTATGTTGTTGGACTCCCATGTAGTCGACCACAGTTTGAGTCCTGGACCCAGTGGCTTAAACTCACACAGGGTGCATGTGCATGTGTGCCCAAGATCCCAAGAGGAGAATGGAGAAGGGATTGCGGTGTGGCCATCCCCCCTGGGGGGTGATTTCTTGCGTTCTGTCTCTCTATCTCTCTCTGTCTTTCTGGTGAGCATACATGCCCTATAGCAAAAATCTCTCTGAAAAAAAAAAAAAAAAAGAAAAAGAAAAAATGAGGGAAAAAATCAAAACAGTGCTCATATTTATAAATGTTAACTATAGTTATGTGCTTAGTGGAGTTAGGAGTTACACGTTAATTTTAAAAATTGAAAAGGAGAGCCAATAGATGACATAGAGATTAAGGCAGCTGGATCCCACATGGCTGACTGTGATTTGAGTACCGGACCTGGCAGCTTGAAAAAAACACTGGGTATGAGTGCATGTGTGCCCAGTATCCTGAGAGAAGAGTGGAGGTGAAGGGATTGTAGCATCGCCATCCTTTGGTAGTTGGGGGGTGGTTTCTACCTTTCCCTCGCTCTTTGTCTGCCTCTGGTGAGTGCACATGCGCTATAGCAAAAAATCAAAATATAAAGCAAGATAGGGTTGGCAGGTGGTATGGTGGCTAAGGTGCTGGACTCCCACATGGTTGACTGTGGTTTGAGTCCTGGACCTGGCAGCTTGCTTTCCCACTTTTTCTGTCTCTCCAGTCAAATTAAAATAATAACAGTAAGTGAAATAAATAATTTGAAAATAAAACAATACAAATATTTTTAGTTGAAAAGGCTACATAATATGCTCAGTATAGTAAGTTCTCATATGTTCTAGATACTGTATTAGGTGCTGTGTGAATTCAGTAGCATAGCAATTAACTTTAAGAATTAGAGCATACCTAGAATTAATAGGTATAGGTTAATTTACCCAGTGACAATAGCTTCTTTGTAGTACTACTATTAAAATTTTAATTTTTTGTTTTCTAGATGGCTATTGACCAGGCCCACAGACAGAATGTCTCCTCTCTTTTTCTCCCAGTGATTGAATCTGTCAATCCCTGCTTAATTCTAGTGGTGCGTAGAGAAAATATTGTAGGAGATGCAATGGAAGTCCTAAGGAAAACAAAGAACATAGATTACAAAAAACCACTCAAGGTAATTTGACATTTTCTTCTGTGTAATCAAGACCTCTGTTCAGAAGCAATGTTTCCTTGCAACTTAATAAATAAAATCATGGGGGCCAGCAGATGGCATGGTGGTTAAGAACCGTGGATTCTCATATGGCTGATCATGGTTTGAGCCCTGCACCTGGCAGCTTGCCTACTGAATTTCTCTCTCTCCATCTCTTTCTCTCTTCCTCTCTAGTGCTCTCTCACTCTGTCCTTCTCTGGTCAAATTTAAATTAATTAATTAATTATTTGAAATCTATAAAGCCACATATATATAATTTTTTAAAAACTATTAACTGCTAAGTATTAATTAGTAATAAATAGCACACTATAGGGTCTCCAGAATACTTTTGTTTCTTCATAACCTGTTCAGTGTTTGCATTATGCTATTTTAGGTTATATTTGTTGGAGAAGATGCTGTTGATGCTGGAGGAGTACGCAAAGAATTTTTCTTGCTCATCATGAGAGAATTGTTAGATCCTAAATATGGGATGTTTCGGTATTATGAAGATTCCAGGCTCATTTGGTTTTCAGATAAGGTAAAATTTCCAAACATCTGAATTACTTCTGTGTATATACTTATGTTTAAATACCTGTATCTATCAGCTTAACTCAGTAAATTGAGTTATTGCTCTGTTCTTCACATACTACATTCAGAGATCTGTTTTGTTATAATTTGAAAAATTAAAAAATTTTGGACTTAGAGTTGTCAAAACCCATTAATGCCTCTCATGTACTTTTGACATGTTTCCATTATTCTTTGAGATTTCCTACCTTTGGTATGAAAACTGTGCCAGGCTCATGTTATGTTTCCTCTGCCCCAGCTGTTCAGTAGATCTATCTGTATTTTCTTTTAAAGAATTATTTTATTATTTTTAGAGAGAGAGTTTTTTGCTATAGGGCATATGTGCTTGCCAGAGAGACAGAGAGAGAGAGAGAGAGAGTCAGAAAGCAAGAAATCACCCCCTGGGCGGATGGCCACAGCACAATCCCTTTTGCTCCATCTTGTCTTGAGATTTTGGCCACCCATGCACACGTGCCCAACCATCTTGTCTTGAGATTTTGGCCACCCATGAATTTTGTGCCCAACATGAATTTTAACCCTATAGATCTGGGACTCGAACCATGGTCAGCTATGTGGGAGTCCAGCAGTGTAACCATCGCACCATCTGCTGGTCCCTTTATTATTACTTGTTCATTTTGCTGTAGAACAAATGTGCTCACTGAGAGAGACAGTGGGAAAATGGGAAAGCAAGCCACCAGGTCTGGGACTTGAACTATGTTTGGCCATTAGGGAGTCCAGCGCTTTCGCCACACCACCTGCCAGCCCCCAATATATCTATACTTACAGCTATATGTATATGTTGAAAACATGAAATCAGACTGATCCCTCTGATTCTACTCAGAACATAAAAGAGTTGACTTTAGCTTTCTCCCTTTTCATATTGTATATATAACTTTCCCCCATTGAGAAACTTTACTGCCATTGTCTTCAGCATATTTTATTCAGTCTCCTTTGTTTGAAACCAGTCTTTGGGCTGCACTACTCAAAAGCTCAGCCTCGGTCATAGTGGACTACCCTCTGGGAAAATGTGAAATAGTGGGATGTTACCTGTGGAGTTTTCCATAAATTCCCTTTATTGTATTAAGTAAATTCCCTTCTGTTCTGGGGTGCGCATGCATGCATGCCCAAAATCCCTAGAAGAGAACAATGAAGGAATTGTGGCATGGGCCTCCTCCCTTCCACCACCCCCCACCATGGTTTCTCACTTTCTCTTTCTCTCTTCTCTCTCTCTGTTGAGTGTACATGCCCTACAGCAAACTAAAAATTAAAAAAGTTTTTTAAAAGCATAGATTTATTTTGGGGCAAAAGAATTTTGAAATGTGAAGATTTTTCCCCCTTTTTAAAAGTATTTATTTATTTATTTATTTTAATTCGACCAGAGAAAAACAGAGACAGAGAGAGAGAGAGAAGGAAAGTGAGAACGAAACCCACCAGGTCTGGGACTTGAACCGTGGTTGGCCATGTGGGAGTGTCCAGTGCCTTAACCACCACACCACCTGCTGGTTCCCAAAATGTAAAGGTTTTTTGTAATGTACTTTTTTTTTTTTTTTTGGAGAGGTTTTTGCTGGGGCACGTGCGCTCGCCAGACAGAAAAACAGAGAGACAGAAAGCGAGAAATCACCCCCCAGTGGGGATGACCATGCCGCAGTCCCTCCTCCTCCATTCTCTTCTCAGGATCTTGGGCACACATGCACACACGCTTGGCGTGAGTTTTAAGCCACCGGGTCCGGGACTCGAACCGCGGTCGACTACATGGGAGTCCAGCAACATAGCCATTACGCTAACTGCTGGTCCCTGTAATGTACATTTTTTCATGAACTTTAAAACACTCCCTCATATTTCAGAGCTATTATTATGCATTTAATGCTTGTTTATCTTGTTGATCCTTTTGTCAATATGTTTTCATCTCTTATAATAATTTTTTCTGATTAACGTATTTTGTCTGTTCTTGGTTTAATCACCCCAACTTTTTTTGGAGAGATTCTCACTATAGGGCGCATGCGCTCATCAGACAGACAGAGAGAGACGTAGAGACAGAAAGCGAGAACTCATCCCCCAGGGGGGATGGTCACACCGCAATCCCTTCTCCTCCATTCTCCTCTCGGGATCTTGGGCACGCACGCACACGCGCCCGGCGTGAGTTTTAAGCCACTGGGTCCGCGACGCAAACCACGGTCGACTACGTGGGAGTCCAGCGACATAGCCATTACGCTAACTGCTGGTTCCCCCCAGCTCTCTTTTGTTACTGTATTTTTGAAATATCTTTTTTTTTTTTTCACTTAAACTTTCAGCTTATTTATGTCTTAGATTTAAAGTAAGACTTGTCAAAGTATATAGTTGGATCATGTTTGTTTAATCCATTCTGTCAGTCTCTTTATTTCAGAAAAGGGAAAAAAAGTAATTGATTGTAATAAATTCCATTAACATTTAAATTAATTATTGATAAAGAAACCCTTAAGCCATTTTGCTATTTTTTAAATTTATGTACATCTTTGTTCATCAATTACTGCCTTTTTAAACGTGGATTGCTTTGCTAATGTACTCTCCTTTCCCTTATTTCTTTTTCTGTATATAGTTTATTTTCTTAGTGGTTGCCCAGGGGCTACATTAACTTCTTTAAATTAATAACAATCTAGTTTGAATTAATATCATTTCAACTTCAGTAGTATATAAAAACTTAGCTGTTAAAGAGCTTTATCTTGGCAACAGCAGGTGGCATGGTGGTTAAAGCACTGGACACTCTCATATGGCTGACCATGGTTCGAATCCCAGACCTGGTGGCTTGCTTGCTCACTTTCCCTTTCTCTCTGTCCCTCTCTGGTCAAATTAAAATATATGAATGAATAAATAAAATAAAATTGATGATTTAAAAAAAGAACTTTATCTCCCCTGTTTAGTTTGTTGTTAACACAACTTTTATTTTTGTGTGGCCACTAATACACATTTATGATTTTATGCATTTGTCTTTCCATCACATAAGAAAAAAGTGGAGTTACAACTCAAGCTTACAGTGATAATGGATTTTATATTGATCTGTGTAGCTACCTTTACTAGAATTCTTTTTTTCTTTGTATGGTTTTATGCTACTATGTTGCATCCTTTCATTAGCCTGAAGGACTGGATTATTTTCTGGAGGGAAGTTATTGAACCAGCAGAGTCTCTCAATTTTTGTTTATCTGACAGTGGGTTGGTTTCTCTTTTATTTTTGAAGGACAGTGTTCCTGGATATAGAATTCTTCCTTGACAAATTTTTGCCTTCTGACATTCATAGTTCCTAACAGGAAATCAGCTGTTAGTGTCAATAAGGAACACTGGTATACAGTGAACTGCTTTTATGTTATTTGATTTTTTTCTAGTGGTCAGAGTGTGCATACACTCACCAGAAAGACAGAGAGAGAGAGAGAACACCCCTCAGTGGGATGTGTCGTGCTGCAAACATTTCTTCTCCATTTCTCCATCCTGTCGGGATTTGGGGCATGCATGCACATGTGCCCAGTGTGTTTTGCAAGCCGCTGAGACTTGAAATGCAATTGACCATGTGGGATCCAGCTCCCTTAACATTAGACTTTGGGACTGGCCCCTAGTTGACTTCTGGCACTTGTACAATGTGCCTCAGTGTGGATCTCTGAATTCATCCTGCCTGGAGTTTGTTGTACTTTTTGGAATGTGGATTCATGACATTTATCAAATTTGGGAAGTTTTTTACCATTTCAAGTATTCTTTCTACCCTTTTTTTTGGAGAGATTTTCGCTATAGGGTGCGTGCGCTCGCCAGACAGACAGAGACAGACATAGAGACGGAAAGCGAGAAATCACCCCCCAGGGGGGATGGTCATGCCTCAGTCCTTTCTCCTCCATTCTCCTCTTGGGATCTTGGGCACGCACGCACACGTGCCCGGCATGGATTTTAAGCCACTGGGTCCGGGACATGAATCGCGGTCGACTACGTGGGAGTCCCGCGACATAGCCATTATGCTAACTGCTGGTTCCCCTTTCTACCTCTTTCTCATCTTTTGAGACTCTCACTCTGTATTTGATGGTACACTTGATTGGGGTCCCACTGGCCTGTTAGGCTTTGCTCATTTTTCTTTTTTCCTTACTTTTGTTCCGCAGGCTGATTTTATTTATTGTGTCTCTATCTGATGAGGTATCATTATCCTATTTCTTTTTATACTTCTTAGTCTGTTTAGCTCTTTGAGCAACTGTCCTTAAGACAGTTGATTTTAAAACTTAGTCTGCAGCCAGCAGGTGGCGTGGTGGTTAAAGGTGCTGGACTTCCCACATGGCTGACTACAGTTTGAGTTCTAGACCTGGCAACTTGCTTTCTCATTTTTCCTCTCTGTGTCTCTCTGGTGAGTATGTATGCCTTGTAGCAAATTAAAAACAAACGAACAAACAATAATGATAAATAAAAATAATTATTTAAACAAACAAAAAATCTTGGTCTAATTAGTTCATTATCTGGGCTTTCTTGGTGACAGTTTATATTAATGTTTTTTTCTTGTGGATGAGCCATATCTTTTTGTTTTTTTGCTTGTCTTATAAATTTTTATTGAATACTGGACACTGAATATGATGATGTGAATACTGCGGAGATCATGTATTTCCCTTTAAATTGTATTTTTGTAAAGTCTATATTCCTTATGTGTGGCTACTGAAGTCTATTCTTTTAGCATAGTGGTCAGCTTGTGATTGACAAAGATTATTTTTAATTCCATAAGCCAAAGGATAAAAGAAAATTAAATATTTTCTCAGTCTTTACAGTTTGACTCTGTCTTAGATACTCCTTCATTGTTTAGCCAAACTATATTCAAATCTGACTTAGCCTGCACTTCTCACTTGCACAGTTTCTAAAGATCAGTCAAAGATGAGAGCTTAGGGTCTTCTCAGTTTGCTTTATTTTGTTTTCTCCTTTCAATTGCCAGAGGTGTAGTTCTCTGATGCATTTGCTAGAGAGAGGAATAGGGAGAAAGAACTCCCAGTGAAGCGTGGTCATACCACAATCCCTTCTCTTCCATTTCTCCTGTTGTTTAGATTTTGGACATGCATGAACACATGCCTGGTATGTTTTTCAAGCTGCCAGGGCTAGGATTCAAACCACAGTCAGCCACGTGAGAGCTAGCTTCTTTAACAACTAGGCTACAGGGTTACCTCCCACCCCTTTTAAATTAAATTTCTTTCTCTCTTCTGTGAGTGAGAGACAGAAAGACAGACACCTCCAGTACACAGCCCTATTGCACTCTACTCCCAATTCAGTCAGTCCCAGACTTCGGGCATGTGTGCATCCATCGTGTTCAAGGTCTCCAGATAGGATTCTGGAACTCTCTTGTGGATAAGCCTCACAGAGTGATGCGTTACTTCTACTTTATTGTCCAGCTCCCCTCAGGTCTTTCTGAGCATGCATTTACACCTAGGCATGCATCTGACCTCCTAGGTTCCCTGCTAAACAAACTCTAGAACCTATCAAATCCTTTATTCTATTTTCCAAATATCTCCTTCTCCAGCCTCTTCCTCCCCAGGCTTTTCAGTCTATCTGTTGCTTGCTCCAACTGTTATTCCTTGATCCTGGAAGCCTAGGGGGTCTATACATTTGCCTTTAAGTGCTTTTGACAAGCGCTCCTCACCCAGGAAACTGCTTAATCACTGGGGGAAACGTAAAGGCAGGCGAAACAAAGGCAAGCTTTTGAGTTGATCCTTCAGAGAGCCACTGGACAGGTCAGAAAACATAGCCCTAGTTTTTTGTTTGTTTGTTTGTTTGTTTTGTTTTATTAAATAGGCTATCATCTTATGGCTACCACCTTTCTGGGGAGTGAGGCATGGTAAGCAGGTAGCTTAAAGTAACAGTGCTGTCATAACCAAACTGAGCAGCTTCATCATTAAGCATTCAGCTAATTGTACGTTTTTTATTAGTTTCTAGAATTCCAAAAGAATTGATTTTGATAGTTTTGCCATATTACTCACTGTTTATTCTTTTTAAAAATTTTGCCAGATGATGCATGTGGTTGCTGGAGTGAGACCAAAAGACAGGAGAAAGGGAAAGCAAGAAAGCACACCCCCATGGGAAGTGATCTGCAATTCATCCTCCTCCATCTCTCACTCCTTTGGGGATTTTGGGGGGCGCTTTCGCTCTCTCTCTCTCTACCTTACTCCTTCTCTCCCTCCTTTTCTCCCTCCCAGTGTGTTTTTCAAGCTGTTGGATCTGGGACTTGAACCATACAGTCAGCATGTGGGATCCAGCTGCCTTAACCACCACAGCACTGGCTGGCCCTTATTGTTTTTCTGGAAAGATGGAACTTTGAAGTTCCCTAATCTGCCATTTTCAGTGATACCATTGTATTGGGGATTGGGTAACGGAATCCAGTTCATTTTTCAATGATGTATATACCATCTTTTATTTTAATCTCTCAGAAGATAGTTATTGTTTCTGTTCCCAGCCCATTTTTAATGTTTTTAAATTTTTAACATTTTCCACATTACCCTTTATTTCTCTGTTTTCATTCTTGTTACAATTGGCTCTTTATTCACATTTAAGAATATAACACTGGGCTGGCCCTGCAGAGCAGCATTAAGTTAAGCTTCTGTGCACAGAAAACCAGTCTCACATGACTGACTGCCATTAGAGTCATTGCCTTGGCAGCTTGATAAACATGCCCCAAAGCCCATGGGCATGCATGTCCCAGATCTGGACAGTAGGGTAAATGGGGGAAAAAAATTGTGGTGTGGGGCCAGCATTTGCTGTGTTGGGAAAGGCACTGGATTCCCACATGACCAACTATGGTTCAAGTCCTGGACCCAGCGGCTTGAAACTCATGCCGGGCATGTGTGCATGTGTGCCCAAAATCCTGAGATGATAATGGAGGAGAAGGGATTGCAGCATGACCATCCCCCTGGGGGTTGATTTCCCACTTAACCTCTCACTGTCTCTCTCCAAGGAGCGCACACACCTGGTAGTAAAAACCTTAAAAAAAAAAAAAAAAAAAAGATTGTGGTGTGACCACACCCAGTTGGGTGATGTCATGATTTCACTTGGAGGACAAGTCTTTACTTTTTCTTCCTTATATTTTTAGACCTTTGAAGACAGTGATTTGTTCCATTTGATTGGTGTTATCTGTGGATTAGCAATTTATAATTTTACTATTGTGGACCTCCATTTTCCTTTGGCTTTATATAAGAAACTGCTGAAAAAGAAGCCATCCCTGGATGATTTGAAAGAACTAATGCCTGATGTTGGGAGGTTAGTTGTAAATAGTGTCAAGATTAGGAATAGGGAATGTACAAAAAGCTCTCCAGCTAGGAATAATTATATTTTGTTGTTCTAGTTAAATTTCTAAAATAAACAAATCCTAGTGATTAAAGGGAAATTTCTTGTTACCCAGATGAAATTTTTCTACTGAAAGACTAAATTTTTAGTTTTCAAAATCTAAAAGTCTATCTTTTTAGTGGTTTAACAAGATTTTATAAATATTAGATTATAAATTTTAAGAAGGTAATATTTCCTAAGAGTGGTTAAATGATTTATTTGGATTTCTGATCATCTTCGTCTTTAGCTTGAATATGTAGATTTATATTTATTTAATACCATAAAATGGAATAAAAAGTGTGTATAAATATGGACAGATGTTGAAAATGGGTGGATACATGGCCTTTCTTTTCTTCTTCAACATTGTTTCTAAGTTCGTATGGTACAACCAAATACAATTAAAGGATTTATTAGGAGGGAATGAGAAATATGTACTTATTTATAAGCCAATAGTCATAATGCCCAAACATATTTTACCTCAGAGAAACGTATATATTATTTTGCAGAAGCATGCAGCAGTTACTGGATTATCCAGAAGATGATATAGAGGAAACATTTTGTCTTAATTTTACGGTAAGATAGAAGGAAGTAGGTTAGTCTGATTACTCATTGTCCCTTTTATTTGACAGCTGTGCTTATGGTTTTTATTTTAATAGATGGATTTTTTCAAGAAACCTTTAGCTGACATTTATTGAGCATTTACTGTGTGCTAGTCACAATACCTCCATTATGTCATTTAATCTTCATAACAGTTCTGTGAGGTTATTGTCCTTATTTTACAGATTAAGAAAACTAGTAACAGTCATAAAATGTTAAAGTCATTTTTCATACTCATCTCTGTGGCTTCAAAGCTTAGGTGCTTTATCACTATGCTGAAGATAACTTTATAAATACAAGAGGTCCTCTTCATCCACTTGTTCATTTTTGAGTCTGCAATTATAGGAATGCTTAGAGAAGCAAAAGGTTATTGTAACATAAGACTGTTATTCATGAACTTACCACTTAAAGGTTCATTCCCACGATACATTCCTTTCTGCTTCACACTAATGTTCATCCTTGCTCATCTTATCTTACTGTTGGATGTCATGTCACAATACAAAATGCAAGTATATTATAATATTATTTGGAAAATGCAATCGCAGATCTTGTATAGGGAAGCAAAATTTTGTTAAGGAAGTGAAAGAAATGTTGAATAACCGATCTAGTCCCATGCAAAGCCATTGACAAATGAGAATCGAGCAAAAGCAGACTAGTTGGCAATTAAAGAATAGAAATCAGCAAGGATTGTGAAAAGGGAACAATTTGAATATTATAAGTTACACTCTTGGAAAAATCATAAAACCTCACTTTTCTTTATCTTTTTTTATTTGTGTATTTGTTCGCCACCCCCTGCCTAAACAGTCTTCTTTATGGTTTTGTTACTAAAGTTGACAAAAGATATCTAATACTTTACTCCTGTAATAACCATTCTAGGGTTTACACCCTGTAAGTTCTCAGTTTCAAGTTCTTGACTAACCAAACACTTGGTAACTTAACAAATAATAAGATATCAAACTACTAAAGAGTGTGAAAATTCATATCTGTGGCTTCCACAAAGAAGCTTATGATAGCATAATTTTATCTCAGATTTATTACATTTTATATGTAATGAAAGACAGACTATAATTAAAATATTCTATAAAGTTTCTGACGATGGTTTTTTTTTTTTTAATTTAAATTAATAGATCACAGTTGAAAACTTTGGTGCAACAGAAGTGAAAGAGCTGGTTCTAAATGGTGCAGACACAGCTGTTAACAAACAGAATCGGTAAGTGAATCAGCAGTGTCAGTTGGAGGAATGAGATGCAGTTGATACGTATTTTTTATTTAGGAAACAGGGTACAGTCCTAAGTTTTGACTCAGGAAAAGTCTTAGGGAATAATCTGTCTTTCCCTCCTGAAATCACTTTAAGTCATCAATAAAGAGATGAAAAGATCATAAACAAAAGAACAAATGCAATGGAGAAGAGTCCATAACAAACACATTTTTAGAAGCCAGAAAATGGTGGTAACTAACTTAGCAAGCTGCAACATACGATGAGCTGGAGGAACCAAGAAGGCAGCTAGTTCATGTTGCAGAACAAAGCCTCAGGCACTAAAAATGACACGTACCTTTAGAGAGTGTGTAGGGTTTGCACCAGCAGTTGGCATAATGGCTGTATCACTGGACTTCCACGTAGTTGACCACGGTTCAAGTTCCGGACCAGGTGGCTTAAACTCCCACTGGGCATGTGTGCATGTGTCCCCAAGATCCAAGAGGAGAATGGAGGAGAAGGGACTGTGGCGTGGCCATCCCCCCTGGGGGGTGATTTCTCGCTTTCTGTCTCTCTGTCTCTCTCTGTCTTTCTGGCAGGCGCACATGCCCTATAGCAAAAACCTCAAAAAATAAATAAATAAAAATAAAAAACTATATGGGGTTTGGTAAAATGTAGAAGAAAGGTTGCCTCTTGCAAGAAGCAGTGAGAAACCAATTTCCTTTAGTACGCCAGTAACTTGGCAGCTGCTTCTCTCTAACCTGAACAGATGATTGGAAATTTGCCTTCCAGAGAAAATTGAGCTAAAGGGACTGTGGATTTTAGGACACCTAGACACAGGCACAGACAGGAGCTGAACTGAAAAGAAGATTATATGAGAGTCTACAATTCCTCCCCATTGACAATGTATATGAGAGAATTCTTTTCTGAGGAAACTGCCCAACTTTTTTTTGGGGGGGGGGGCTGCCCAACTTTTAAATGTGACTAGATAGTCAAAGGTCAGTAGACATTTAAGGAAGGACCAAATAGTCAAAAAGAATGGCATGGAAAGAAACTATACATGATGAAAAATAAAACTTCAAAAGAAACCCAACCAAGGTGGCACAAGTGGTAGGATTCTGCTGCATGAGGCTGAAACCACATAGAAGGCCTGGGTCTGGATCCTGGATCAGTCTGAACAGGCCAGTTGCAGTTGTATGTGCCTATAATCTTAGCTAACTAGGAAGCTGGGGAAGAGGATTAAGTGTATAAAACCCAATGAGAGGTACCTATCTCTCTCTTATAAACAAAAACAAACAAATCTTTAAAAGAAACTGAAATCGGGACCAGCAATTAGTGTAACGGCTATGTCACTGGACTCTCATGTAGTTGACTGCGGTTCAAGTCCTAGACCTGGTAGCTTAAACTCACGCCAGGTACGTGTGCATGGGTGCCCAAGGTCCCAAGAGGAGAGTGGAGGAGAAGGGATTGTGGCGTGGCCATCCCCCTGGGGAGTGATTTCTCACTTTCTGTCTCTCTGTCTCTGGCGAGTGCAAACGCCCTATAACAAAAACCTCTCCAAAAAAATTTAAAAAGAGAGAGACTGAAATCTTTATCCTCAGAATTATAAGAGTATTCATATGTAGACTATAAAAGTGAAATAAGAGGCCCAGCCACAGTGGCATGCTCAATATGCATGATTCTGGAAGCTATGTGGGAAGGCTCCAGGTTTGTGTCCTGGTCAGCCTGAACATGCAGGGTGTGCTCATGGCACACTCACCATCTGGTTGGGTACCAGCCTGAGGGGAGAATCACAGTATGAAAATCCTTTTGAGGGTGCCCCCACCCCTTTTACTCATGAGGGGAATAAATAGACTTTTTCTTTTTTTGGAGAGGTTTTTGCTATAGGGCACGTGCGGTCGTCAGAAAGACCAGAGAGACAGAAAGCAAGAAATCACTCCCCAGTGGGGATGGCCATGCCTCAATCCCTTCTCCATTCTCCTCTCAGGATCTTGGGCACGCACGCACATGTTCTTGGAGTGAGTTTAAGCAAGCCACCGGGTCCAGGATTCAAACCACAGTTGACTACATGGGAGTCCAGCAACATAGTCATTACGCTAACTGCTGATCCCAAGACTTTTTTTTTTTTTAAGAAGGTTTTGCTCACCAGGGAGAGAGAGAGAATGTGAGAAACCGCCGCCACCACCACCCCCCTGCAAGGGGATGGCCACACCATAGTCCCTTCTCCGTGCTCCTCCCAGGATCTTGGACATGCATGTACACACCTCCTGGTATGATTTTCAAGCCACCATGTCAGAGACTTGAACTGCAGTCAGCCATGTGGGAGTCCAGCGACATAACCACTATACCATCTGCTGGCCCCTCCAATAGACTTTTATTTATTTATTTATTTATTTATTTTTGGAGAGGTTTTCGCTATAGGGTGCGTGCGCTTGCCAGACAGACAGAGACATAGAAACAGAAAGCGAGAAGTCACCCTCTGGGGGGATGGTCACGCCGCAATCCCTTCTCCTCCATTCTCCTCTTGTGACCTTGGGCATGCACGCACATGTGCTCGGTGTGGTGTGAGTTTTAAGCCACCAGGTCCGGGACACGAACCGCGGTTGACTACGTGGGAGTCCAGCGACATAGCCATTATGCTAACTGCTGGTTCCCTTATTTATTTATTTTTCTTTTCTTTTGGAGAGGTTTTTGCTATAGGGTGCGTGCACTTGCCAGAAAGACAGAGACAGAAAGCAAGAAATCACCCTCCAGTGGGGATGGCCACGCTGCAGTCCCTTCTCCTCTAAGGATCTTGGGCACGCACGCACACGTGCCAGGTATGAGTTTAAGCCACTGGGTCTGGAACTCAAACTGCGGTCAACTACATGGGAGTCCAGCGACATAGCCATTACACCAACTGCTGGTCCCTTGATAGACTTTTCTTATACCAATGAAGAGTGACCATTGTAACGGGCTCAGACATAAGGACTCCTGATTACTGTCATCTAGCAGTGCCACTCTCTCTACTGCTTTTTAACAGAATTAGAGCAATATACAACTATTAAGCCATCCAAGATGGACCACATTAGGATTTAGCTGCAATGCTAACCTCTAGTTGTCTTGATGAGACCATACTGTGAAAACATGTCTCAGAAGATGCCGTAGTGCACAATTTTAAGTTCAGAATCACAAAGGCAGAGACAGTGAATTCTTTTTCTTAACTTTCCTGAAAGATTTTTTTTGATGCTTAGTTTTCTATTTCTATGGACCTGGGTGGGGTTTTTTGTTTTCCCTCATAAGGCGCATGCACTTGCCAGAAAGGAGGGAGACAGAGACAGTAAGAAGGAAAGTGAGAAATCACCCCTCAGTGGGGACGGCCATGCTGCAGTCCCTCCTCTACTCTCCTGGGATTCTGGACATACATGTAGCACTTGGTCCTATCATAAGTTCCAGGCCGCCAGGTTTGGGACTCTAACCACGGTTAGCTATGTGGGAATCCACCACTCCACCACCTGTTGGCCTCAGACCTAATCCTTTTACCTAGATATTTTTCTTTTTTTTAAATTCTAAACTGCTATTTTATTAATAATTTAATGACTCCACCACAGTACCAAACTATCCCCCCAAATGGAGTTCAAATTTGATAAGAACATAAACCAATGTATGTGACTTTCTGGAGTTATACAAGATAGGCAGCAGGGAAAGTTACCCTAAACCACCATCGGATTGCTTGGGTCTCACCTGCGTGAATGGATACTGAAAGGAGAAATCTACATGCATCACTGAACTTGAGGACTTGTTTGGGGCCTCCAGATTCATTTCTGAGTTTTTGTCCTTGAGTTCTGGACAGCTGCTCATAAAGTTAGAACATGTAGTCATCCCATTCAGGATGACCAAAGGCCCAACCTCCTACTTTCTATGGAAGGATGCCCTAAAGACACCCTAAAACCTTAGGGGGAAAAAGCAGACCATATACAAAAATCTAATGAGAGTAGATTCAGACTTGTAAAGAATAACACTGGAAGCTAGAAGATCCAGATTCTGGGATCATGTTATTTTAAATTTACAATTTGATATCCAAACTATCAAGTATATGGTCATATAAAAGCATTTTCATATATGCATAGTCTTCAGAGGGTTTACCTTTGATGTCTTTTTCTCAGGGAGTTAGTTGAAGATGTGTTCTACCAAAACAAGGACTTAAACCAAGAAAGAGAAAGGCCTAGGATCCAAAAAATAAAAACAAAACCAAAAAAGATCCAATAGAGAGAGAGGCAGAGGATTCCTTATGAAGGAATTCTCTGTGTAGAAAATTTAGAAAGATCTAACGTAACCGTGGGGTAGATCCGGAGGATGGAGGACTCCAGGAGAAAAGTAGCTGATGACTCTCTCATGTATTTGAGTGAATCTAGCAGAGATTGGCTTATCTGTTGGGAATGGCATAGCTGAGTAAGAGAGGGAAAAGAAAGAACTGGAATACTCTGCAGCTTAAATGTGAGTAACATTTATAATCATGAAAATGTGAACAAAGAACACAAAACCAAATTGTGTGTGTGTGTGTGTGTGTGTGTGTGTATAATGGAAGAGGGAGTGGGACTGAAGCAAATGAAAGATTAATTCCCACCTTTTACAGTAGGCATTCATTAGAGAATACTTAAAACAGAAAACCAAGGAATAACAGTAGAAATGTGATGTCCCAGACTTGAAGGTAAATATGACAAGAGATTGCAAAAGGAGTTAAATAGTTGCCTTTGTACAGCCAGAATCTCTGGTGAAGTGCAAGACAGAGCTACTTTGTTCCCTCCTATTTTGTTACAGTCTTCAGGCAATGCTAGTTTAGAGGTTGTTGCCAGTTAATGAACATAATCCTGATTTTGATACTTAGACTCTGTGTAATTTTAGGTGAATTAATTGATGACTTCATATCTGTCTTCTTTTCCATAAAATGAAATGATAAATTGTACCTACCTTAGGGAGTTATTTTGAGGATCAGGTACAGCAATAATTTTTAAAATACTCAGAATAGGACCTAGCACATGTACGTACTCAGTAAATGTTGGCTGTTAGGATTATTACTATTTGTTATTTTTAAGCTATGCATATATCTTATTTTGATAAAAAATCAAGGTATTTTTAAAATGTTGCAGAAACCTCTTAGGTCCTTCTAGCTATCTTTGTTTTAATCTTAATTTTGAAAAACTTTGTGATCTAGATTTTTCTGCTCTAAAAATCTGTATTTTTGTGGCCGGCAGGTGGTAAGGTGGTTAAGGTGCTGGACTCCCACTGGCCAACCATGGTTCAAGTCCTGGTTCTGGTGTCTTTAAAATCATGGTAGGCCCATGTTTGTGTGTATGCCTAAAATCCCAGGAGCAAAATAGAGCAGGGACTGTATGGCCATTTCCCCTAAAAGGTGATTTCCCTCTCTGTCTCTGACAAGTGCATACACCCAATGGCAAAAACACCTCAGAGTTTCTGTTGTACTAATTAAATTTCTTTTAACAGTGTTATTTTATATGATTGCTTAGCTGAGCTGAGCAATAATTTTTAAAATTTTGACAATAAATAAGATCTAGCCATTTTCACTTAATTATTATAGATGAATTTAACTTTCTAATTATAAAATTATATTATCACAAAATTGTTTTTTCCTCATCATAACTTATTGGCTTATGATATGGGTTTTCCTTAGGCCCACCGATTTTATGTTTTACTGTGGTCTCCTTTTTTTTTTTTTTTTTAGAGAGAGAGAGAGAGGTTTTTGCTATAGGGCTCATGCCCTTGCTGGAGAGACAGAGAGAGGCAGAAAGAAGCGAAAAGTCACTCCCCAAAGGGAATGGCCACATCGCAATCCCTTCTCCTCTTGGAATTTTGGGCACTCTCCCACACACCCAGCCTGAGTTTCAAGTCGCTGGGTCTGGACTTAAACCATGGTTGACTACATGGGAGTCCAGCAACATAACCATTATGCCACCTGCTGATTCCTACTGTGTTCTCCTTTAACTTTTATTTTTGTCTTCCTGGTAAATTTGGGATCATTTTACAGCTTGCTGAGAAGATAGAGATGATTAAATTTACCAGTATCCCATTTGCATGATCATCCTTTATTATTTAGGAGATGAAATATTGAAATCTTAACTACCTATTATTGTTTGACCAGATAGCTTTACCAGATAGCTTTATAAAAATGTTTGTGGCTAGCAAAATAGAACAAATTGAATAAAATTGTGGTTTTAATCACTGGATAAAGTACAGTTCTTTACAATTTCCTTGTGCACTTTCCTTGTGTGCTTCCTTGTGTATATATGTCCTGTCAAAGAGCAGGTGTACTTGTGAGCTTTAATGATTATCCTAAAAGGATGCTCAATAATTTCTCTTGTGTATTTGTTTGTGAAAATAAATTTTGTTCGGATTCTTTGGATCCCAAGGAAAAAAGTCTGTTATCTTTCAAATAGTGTAAATCCCAAAGCTATTTTTTTTATCACCTGGTATTTGTGACACTCTTTTTAGAGATGCAAGAGTGGTGAGCTATGGACCAGTAAGTGGCATGGTGTTTAAAGGCACTGGACTCCCACATGGCTGACTGTGGGTTGAATCCCATACCTGGTGGCTTACTTTCTCACTCCTCCCCCACCCCCGCTCTGTCTCTCTCTGGTCAAATAAAAAATAATAATAATAAATGAAGTTAAATAAAGTAATTCTTTTTTTTAAAAAAAGTGGTGAGATATATAAATCCTCAGAAATTTTTAAATATTTTAAGATAATTTCGTAGCCATTTATATGCTTATGACCATGAGGAAGTGATGTTTTTCCATGAATAATGGCCTAAGAGTAGCTGAGAGCGCTTCATGGACATACTTTATTTTGTGTAGAAAGAATAATGGGCTTCTCCTTAACGACTTTGTTTTCTTCGAAGCATCCTCATATTTTGTTTTATGGATAAGTATCAAAAAGTACAGGAGCGGGACTAGCAGTTAGCGTAATGGCTATGTCGTTGGACTCCCATGTAGTCGACTGCGGTTCGAGTCCCGGACCCGGTGGCTTAAACTCACGCCGGGCGCATGTGCGTGCGTGCCCGAAATCCCAAGAGGAGAATGGAGGAGAGGTGCGGTATGGCCATTCCCCCTGGGGGGGGTGATTTCTCACTTTCTGTCTGTCTGTCTGGCGAGTGCACATGCCCTATAGCAAAAATCTCTCGAAAAAAAAAGAAAAAGTACAGGAGCACTCGAAGTTTTAATAAAACCATATTATTTGTTTTTATAATCTGTGCATATGTGCTTTTTCATTTCTAGGCAGGAGTTTGTTGATGCATATGTGGATTACATATTCAATAAATCAGTGGCTTCTTTATTTGATGCTTTTCATGCGGGATTTCATAAGGTCTGTGGAGGAAAAGTCCTTCAGCTCTTCCAGCCTAATGAACTACAAGCAATGGTTATTGGCAATACAAATTATGATTGGAAGGAACTAGAAAAGGTAGGGAATGACAAATCTATGACATTGTTAAATAGGCAAAAGAATAATATGACTTATTGGTAGAAATCGTACTGTTATGTATTTTCCATTTTATATAATCACTGTCATTTTATTAGAAAATGTTATTTAACCCTTCTTACTCCATAGTAAAGAAGTTGACATAATATAAATTTTACTTAACTATCTTTACTGTTGCTTCTTTCTCCACCAAAGTGTTTTAAGTGCCACAAGGGCAGAAGTTTTGCCTTTTTGGTCACTGCCCTATTCTCAGCACCTCAAAGAGCACTTACTACTTAAAACCCTGCTTGAAGAGATCATTAATAAGTTAATTCAATAAGACAGGATATTTTGTAAAATGTATTGTAATGTATTTTGCTTAGTATACTTTGATTTTTTTCCATTGTTGATATGATTCCTTACAATTTCATCGAATATAATTTGTAGCCTTAAATGTTCATTCTTATTTAGAACTTTGTACATACGTTCGTAAAACCACTTCGAGGATAAAATGAAAAAAAATTTTGCCATCCTTTCATCTCCCACTAACATGCTCAAAGACTTGTAATTCAAACAAGTTAAATTAATTCCAGGGCCAGTAGATAGTATGGAGGTTAGGGCAGCTAGATACCACTGTACCTTTGAGTCCCAGGCATGGCAGTTTGACAAGTATGGAGGATGGGTGTGTGTGCATGGCCAAAATCCTGAGAGAAGAATGGAGGAGGAGGATTGTGGCATAGCTATTCCCCTGGTGGGGTGATTTCTCACTTTCCTCGTTTTGTTTTTAGTGATCATACATGCCCTACAGCAGAGCTAAAAAAATAATTGCCAGAAGTCAAACAATTTTCTCCCAAACTTCTTCATAAATAGTAGTGGCTTGCATATTTGAATTATTTAGAGTACAGTGATTGGGATAATTATGGCTAAAAGAAGGAGCATTTAGCCAGCCAGTGGCCTGGGGGTTAAGAGAACCAGACTCCCTGTGTGGCCAACTAAGTAGTTGGAATCAGGGCCTCGCCAGTTTAAAAACATGCCAAAAATGGGGAGCCAGCAGGTGTTGTGTTAGTTAAGTTGCTGGACTCCCACGTGACCTACCGTGGTGCAGGTTCCAGACCCGGCAGCTTGAAAATCATACCAGACGTGTGATTGCCCAAAATCCCCAGAGGAGAAGGGATTGCAGCCTGGCCATCCCTCACAAGGAGTGATTTCTCACTTACCCTCTCATCTTTCTCTCTGGCCAGCCCATATGTCCTATGCAAATAACAATGATGATAATAATAATAATAGTCATAAATAAATAAAAAACATTCCAGGAACCATGTGTATATGTGCCTAGAATCCAGACAAGTTAGAGAAATGAAGAAGGGATTATGGCATGACCACACCTCATTGTTGAATGCTCTCTTCCGCTCCCTCTGTCTCTGGGAAGCACATGTGCAAAGCAAAACCAACCAAACGAACGAACAAATGCGGGCAGTAAAGCCCAAAATCTATTAAACCTCTGCTGGATACCTAATATTACGCAAGAGATTAGAGAGATGTTTTGCTCTCTAATGAGGGAGCTGACATTAAGTACTTAATTGGGTTGTAATGAAAGAAAGAGTAAGATTTTAGTGAATGTTATATAAGGAGGAACTTCAGCTAGGTTAGTATAGGAAAGACTTACCATTTGGTGAGCTTCACAGGTAAGGAAGGACTTTGTTCATTAGTTTCCTCACAACCGGAAACTCTAACTGCTAAAACTCATTGCAGTAGTCCCCCTTAGGCAGTTTGCCTTTCTGCATATTCAGTTACCTGGGGTCATCTGGGGTCTGAAAATATTAAATGGGAAATACCACAAGTAAACGATTTCTATTTTAAATTGCACACTATTTGGAGTAGCAAGATGAAATTTCCTTCTGTCCCACACCATCCCGCGTGGTACACGAATCATCCTTTTGTCCAGCATATCAGTGCTATATATGCCACCCACCCATTAGTCACTTAGTAATGGTTTTGGTTGTTTGGTTGCAAAGATATGGTATGGATAGGGTCTGGTGCTCTCTGTACTTACAGGCATCCACTGGGGTTCTTGGAACTTAGCCTGCATAGATAAGGGGAGACAACTATATATATTTTTGAATGAATCAATTAATGAATTTTAGGGCACATTTAATCTGAGCACTGAAGGGTAAGTCGAAATTAGCCTAGTGAACAAAGAAGGAGGGATGTGTCCAAGTGGTCTAGGCTGAGAGAACAATTTGCAAAGTCCCTGATGCTGAAAGGAACTTGCTGCCTACAAACAAAATTAAAGTCAGTGTGGCTGGATTTTACAGAACCCTCCACAGTGTAAACTAGTTTCTTTCTCTACTTAAACCCCTTCTTGGGGCTCTTATTTTTGAAAGGAATGTATTAGTTCTATTGCTGCAAATTATCCAGAACCTTACAGCTCAGAGGCTTCAGTATAGCACTATGAGGTCCTCTCGACCCAGGATATTTCAAGTATCTTCATGACACGACAAGTGGCTCCCCTCAGGACGAGTGACCCAAAAGAGGGGCTGATGTCCCAGAGTTTTCTGATCTAGCCCCAGAAGTTATATATGCATTCCTCATATCTGTAATATCCTAATGACCACAGGTCAGCTTCATTCAGAGGGGGAGAGGACTCCACAGGGAGGCAGGAGGCAGAGCTTATTGGGTGCTCTTGTGGAAACTGACTACCACAGAAAGGTATTAGTGGTATTCTTAGTACCTTTTTTTTTTTTTGAGGAGGAGAAACTGTAAAATACTGGGTTGTTGGAAAAGTCATGATGCATTTTTGCATAGAAAAATGCAAAACACCATGACTTTTCCAACAACCCAATAGTTTGATTTCTATTAATGAATATAGGAAAAAAATTTTCATTGTCACAGATAAATTCTCTATAGAACTTTAATAATCTCACCATTATTTTAGCAATTCTAATTTATCCTTATCTGGATACTTACTCTTGAAGAAGCTAGTACAATCCTATCATGATCTTTGAAGTGTTGGGAAGGTATTTTTGGTAATTCATATTTTCTTTCCTTCCAAATAATAGTTCCAAATTACAAATGTTCTGGAAATGGTGAGTTATCAGCTGAACTGCCCAACTTTCATATTTCTGAAACATGTTAGCTTTGTGTAATCAGCAAGCCAATTTGCCAGATTCGTGACAAAACTAATATTCCTTAATATTAATAAAAGGTTATGTATGTTTTTAGAATACAGAATACAAAGGAGAGTATTGGGCAGAACATCCTACAATAAAAATTTTTTGGGAAGTATTTCATGAATTACCACTGGAAAAGAAAAAACAATTTCTGTGTAAGTATTTTTAACTAATACATTTTATTAGAAAATTACTCTCATAGAAAATTGATTTAACATTGGTTGGGTTAGGTTTTATTTTTATAGTATAAATCCTTTAAGAATAATTTTTTTTAAAAAAGAAAAATTTTTAATAAGCAAATCTGCATTAATTGCATGTGTTTTCTTGTCTTGAAGGATAAATTCAGTTAGCCTCCAAAATAGCTTTAGTTCTTGAAAGTAAAACTGTGGTTACAAACAGGATTGTAGAATTCTTTTTAGAATTTCTAAGATGGTGTGTAGAGCATAGCTCTTTTCTGTATTCAATATCCATTTTTTCTCTTTGCTTCAGCACCAAATCCTTGGGAATTTCCATAGAAAAAAAGAACTTTTCTTTTCCAGGCCTTTGTTTTCCATTTATGAAATAGTGTCTCTCAGTCTTTCATTTGTTAAAATCTGTATCTTAATTGAAATTTGTCAGAATTTATGTATCTAAATCAGCTACATCCCCTTTGGCTCTCTTGCTATTTCCTGCCAAGAATATTTTTGTCAATCTTTTTTTAAGACTCTTGGTTAAATTCTTTTCCATAGCATAAGGATAGCAAGTTGTTATTCTTTGTAAGCAATTTGAATTTTGGCTGCTCACTAACAGCAGCAGAAACAAAATGAAAAACCAAAAACACCTTTTGGGTTGACTCCATGGCCTACTGGTCAAGGGACCAGAATCCCACATGCCTGACCCCAGCTCAAATACCAGCCCAGTGGCTTGAAAAACATGCCAGGCACATGTGCATGTGCGTCTAGTATCCCAACAGGATGCAGAAATTGGAGAAGGGGTTGCAGGGTAACCACGTCCAGTTGAGAGGTGATTTCTCCCTCCCTCCCTCTCTCTGGCCCAGGGCATGTACCTTCTGGCAATTTTTTTTTTCAATGCATTTATCAACTGGTTCTAAATGACTCTTCCCAAAAGAGGAGCTTTTCCCTAACGTTCTTGGTAATTGGCAGTTATTCATTTATTAAATACTAAATACCTCTGTATAACAAGATTATCATGATAAAAAAATACTGTGCAAATGTAATTAGTACATATCTCAAAAATCTTATCTTCCACAAATTCCTGGAAGTAGGTTTCCAGCAGAGAGCAAATGTTAATATAAGGCTTTGCTGTCCTGACTGTATGAATACTTGCTACTTTGTGGTGTTACTTTGAAGCCGTTGGCTAAACGATTTTTTTCTTGGCAGTATTTTTGACAGGTAGTGATCGCATTCCTATTCTTGGTATGAAGAGTCTGAAATTAGTCATCCAGTCAACAGGAGGAGGTGAAGAGTATCTCCCAGTTTCCCATACCTGTTTTAATCTTCTCGATCTTCCAAAATACACAGAGAAAGAAACTTTACGCTCTAAACTGATCCAAGCTATCGATCACAATGAAGGCTTCAGTTTAATATGACTTAGGAGTTCAGTTTAGTGCAAAAGCATTAAACTATTTGTGTTTTTCTTGTGGTGATGAATTCAACAAGGTGACACAGGCACTATTATAATTCTTACTTGCAAAATGTTCAATGCTGTGAGTATTCATGAAAGCCAAAAAGTACTAAAGGAAAATGAACAAACTGTTAAATATTAAACTTATTGTACAGAACCATGGATTTTTTTTGGGCCATCTTCCAATAAACACAAAAGTATTGTGAATACATTAAAGTTTTACTAACATGAATTTTAAGAGTTTGCATATTTCAGAAAAGATCTGGCGTGTTGAGTGCATGGAAATGTTGCTTAATTTTTTCTTCAATCACTGGGTGAAAACCTTGGCCTGCAAATAGTCATTTGATTATTTTTTCATTTTGTATATAATGTTAAGTTTTGTAATAAAATAGATATGTTCTGATACCAGTACAGTTTCTTTGGTTGTAATTGAACTGAGCTGACTTTTAAGGGTTAAGAATTATGGCTTAAATATTAACTTTGAGAATTTACAGAGCAAAAAGAAAAAAAAAGCATAGTGGAAACAGAACTATTACTTTTTTGCTATAGAACAAATGTTTGCGAAAACCAAATTACAGATAGGAATTATACTAAATAACTAGCAGTTCTTTCCTCCTTTATGAATCCTGGGATGCTACAGATGATGGGAGGTTATTAATATTAATATTTACTAACAAAGAACTTTGTCTCTGCATTTGCCAGTAATAGAAACATTGGCTACTCTGAGAACCAGTCACTGGGTTAGAGATGTCATGATTAATAGTGCTGCAGATTAGTACGTAGTACAATTTTCAGTGCTTTAGATTTCCTTGAAATTTAAGAAACAATCTTCACAGTTTTATGGTGCTGATGCTTAGTTATCTCATGTTATTAAATTGCAAAAATGAGTTGATGCAATACATGTGATTTTCTGCTATCATGAAAATATTTATTTTTTAGATTTATTTTAAAAAGCCATGAAAACTGTTTAAATAATAAAGATGTATTGGTATAATACTTAAATTTTCACTGGTTATAAGATTCCAAATTCTTTGGATTGCTTTTTTCCATCCCCCATATGCCTGTTCTGTAGAAGCCGGTCTCTGTAATTCTGAAATCCAAAAATACTGAAAAAAATTTTCACCTTATTTTGCAGCCAAACCTTATCAAATTTTTTAGGCCATTTATGGTATTCACTAATGGTGCCTACAGAGTGCTTCATGATATATATGCATAAACATATTCTTTAAAATTCATAATTACAAAATTCAAATAAGACCAAGGGTTTGTATAAAGGATTGTGGACTTGTACATTGTAGTAGCTTATTCTTCTAACAGAGTAAGTACTGGTGAGGTACAGGTGTCTTTTATAGATAAAATCATTAACAGTATTCTCATATAAGGTAATTTTCCTAAAGTCTTCCCTATGAGATTTTTTTTTTTTTTTTGCTATTAGGGCGCTTGCGCTCGCCGTAAAGACAGAGACAGACAGAAAGTGAGAAATCACCCCTGAGGGGGGATGACCATGCCGTAATCCCTTCTCCTCCATTCTTCTCTTGGGCGCTTGGGCACACACCTGGTGTGAGTTTAAGCTACTAATCTACCCAGTCCGGAACTCAAACCACGGTTGACTACATGGGAGTTCAGTAACAGCCATTATGCTAACTTGTTGGTCCCTTCCCTGAGATTTAATCCACATGCCTGATATTTGTTATACCATTTCCCTGTGCTTCCATTCCTTGAGAGTGTTGATACATGCCACCTTTGTATGCTATGAAGCTGATCTGTGAAGTAGCAGTCACTTTGGATTAATAGAATTCTGTGAGCAGACATTTTTTAAAGGACATGGTGGGCCAACAGGTGGCATCATGATTAAGGTGCTAGATTCCCACATGGGCAATTACAGTTTGAGTCCCGGACCCAGCAGCTTGAAAATCATGCCAGGCGCATGTGCATATGTGCCTAAAATCCCACAGAGATTGGAGGGGAAGGGATTGCAGTTTGGCCATCTGCCCTGGGAGGGTGATTTATCACTCTGTCTCTCCTGAGCCAGCACATGTACTCCTGCACCCCAGGCATAGGGTGGCCAGCAGGTGGCATGGTGGTTAAGGTTCTGGATTCCACTTGCCAAATCCACAGTCTTGAGTCCCAGACTAGGTGGCTTGAAATACTAGGCATGTGTCTTTGCCCAAAATGCCCAGAGGAAAATGGAGAAGGGATTGCAATGTGGCCAACCACCCCTAGGGACTGACTTCCTACATTCTCTCTGTTGTCTCTCCCCAACAAGTGCACATGTCCTGAATTGAAAAATAAAAAAAGGATAGGGTGGCCAACAGGTGACATGGTGATTAAAGTGGTGAATCCCGCTTGGCCAACTCTGCGGTTTGAATCCCAAACTACTCAGTGGCTTGAAAAACAGGCCAGGCATGTACACGTACCAGAAGGCACTTGTTTGGTAGAGAGGAACAAGGAAGCACTCTCGGGTGGGGAGTGGTACACTGCAGTGCCTTCATCTGTGCCATCTTGTCAGGATTGAGCACAATGGTGCCCAGCATGTTTTTCAAACCACCAACGCCAGGACTTGAACCACGAGGTCAGGCACTCTAACCAGGCAGCCACACTGGTCAAGGATTCACAATGCACAAAGCCCCACCTCCCCACAAAGTATTAGAAGTGAGGCTCAGACTAGTTTTCAGGTGATTTTTAATAATCAAATTTTTTAGGCCATTTATGGTATTCACTAATGGTGCCTACAGAGTGCTTCATGATATATATGCATAAACATATTCTTTAAAATTCATAATTACAAAATTCAAATAAGACCAAGGGTTTGTATAAAGGATTGTGGACTTGTACATTGTAGTAGCTTATTCTTCTAACAGAGTAAGTACTGGTGAGGTACAGGTGTCTTTTATAGATAAAATCATTAACAGTATTCTCATATAAGGTAATTTTCCTCAAGTCTTCCCTATGAGATTTTTTTTTTTTTTGCTATTAGGGCGCTTGCGCTCGCCGTAAAGACAGAGACAGACAGAAAGTGAGAAATCACCCCCGAGGGGGGATGACCATGCCGTAATCCCTTCTCCTCCATTCTTCTCTTGGGCGCTTGGGCACACACCTGGTGTGAGTTTAAGCTACTAATCTACCCAGTCCGGAACTCAAACCACGGTTGACTACATGGGAGTTCAGTAACAGCCATTATGCTAACTTGTTGGTCCCTTCCCTGAGATTTAATCCACATGCCTGATATTTGTTATACCATTTCCCTGTGCTTCCATTCATTGAGAGTGTTGATACATGCCACCTTTGTATGCTATGAAGCTGATCTGTGAAGTAGCAGTCACTTTGGATTAATAGAATTCTGTGAGCAGACATTTTTTAAAGGACATGGTGGGCCAACAGGTGGCATCATGATTAAGGTGCTAGATTCCCACATGGGCAATTACAGTTTGAGTCCCGGACCCAGCAGCTTGAAAATCATGCCAGGCGCATGTGCATATGTGCCTAAAATCCCACAGAGATTGGAGGGGAAGGGATTGCAGTTTGGCCATCTGCCCTGGGAGGGTGATTTATCACTCTGTCTCTCCTGAGCCAGCACATGTACTCCTGCACCCCAGGCATAGGGTGGCCAGCAGGTGGCATGGTGGTTAAGGTTCTGGATTCCACTTGCCAAATCCACAGTCTTGAGTCCCAGACTAGGTGGCTTGAAATACTAGGCATGTGTCTTTGCCCAAAATGCCCAGAGGAAAATGGAGAAGGGATTGCAATGTGGCCAACCACCCCTAGGGACTGACTTCCTACATTCTCTCTGTTGTCTCTCCCCAACAAGTGCACATGTCCTGAATTGAAAAATAAAAAAAGGATAGGGTGGCCAACAGGTGACATGGTGATTAAAGTGGTGAATCCCGCTTGGCCAACTCTGCGGTTTGAATCCCAAACTACTCAGTGGCTTGAAAAACAGGCCAGGCATGTACACGTACCAGAAGGCACTTGTTTGGTAGAGAGGAACAAGGAAGCACTCTCGGGTGGGGAGTGGTACACTGCAGTGCCTTCATCTGTGCCATCTTGTCAGGATTGAGCACAATGGTGCCCAGCATGTTTTTCAAACCACCAACGCCAGGACTTGAACCACGAGGTCAGGCACTCTAACCAGGCAGCCACACTGGTCAAGGATTCACAATGCACAAAGCCCCACCTCCCCACAAAGTATTAGAAGTGAGGCTCAGACTAGTTTTCAGGTGATTTTTAATAGTGTCATTAGACAGCTATTCTAAAAGTGGGGAGAGGTCTGGGGCCAGCAGGTGGCATGGTGATTAAGGTACTAGACACTCCCACATGGCCGACCATGGTTCAAGTCCCATACCTGGTAGCTTGCTTTCTCACTTTCTCT